CTCTCTCTCTCTCTCTCTCTCTCTCTCTCTCTCTCTCTCTCTCTCTCTCTCTCTCTCTCTCTCTCTCTCTCTCTCTCTCTCTCTCTCTCTCTCTCTCTCTCTCTCTCTCTCTCTCTCTCTCTCTCTCTCTCTCTCTCTCTCTCTCTCTCTCTCTATTTTTTGAAGTGTTTTTTCCCCTTCACTTTGATGGAGAGTTTCTGAAGAAGGGCTATCTGTCCCACAGACACACATGCACACAGACACATGTGTTATAGTGTGCTGTCTGTGGGGGAGGGGAAGCATGATTCTAGACTCAAGCTGTTCTCCGTTTGAATGTTGTTATGTGAATCTAAAAGGCCCTTTCACAAGACTCATGTCAGGACTTCAGCGAACCTCTCAACACAGGCATCATGTGCCTTTTTGACCTTGACATGAAAAGCGCTTCTGATTGCATCTCAGAAGACCAATTTTTTGTATATAGCTTGAAAGCTAGACATAGAAAATATTGAAAGCAAACAAGATGTATTTGAGCTCATGACTGAAAAAATACATTGGTGAAATCTATAGGGATCTTTGATGCTACTAAGCATGTGCGCTTGCTATGAGGTGATTGATTCTTCACCTCTGTTTTCTACATGAAGCAACATTTGTTATTTGACTTCTGTAATGTGACATACTTTTGATTGAAACAAGGCAATAAGCCAATCAACCCTCTGATTGATGCAGTCCACTAAAAGTCAGTTTAATAATTCAGGATGTGATGTTACATGCAACCAAACTGATTACATTTGACCCTTACCCATATAATTTTATGGCATTCGTCTTTACATGGCTTTTATACAACAACATGCTGTACACTCCACATCACTCCCTCTATATTTTATTCCAGCAGATCCAGACTTTATTAATGTATTTGTTTATTTACATATTTATTTATTTCAATCGAATGAAATCTAGGGACACTTTAATTCTGGAATTATTCAGAATATTTGTTCCTCAGGCATCTCTATGGGGATTTCCATTCAACTCTACTGTGACTATTTCTAAGACTCTTTAAAATGAAATATTTTACTGACTAATTAACATTTTACAATTATATTTTAATTGAACAAGTAGACTTAATTGAGTGCTTATATTTTAATGTAACCATAGGAAGCAGCAGAGATACATAGTATAGAAATAAGGATAAAAGCGCTTGTGTGTACCTACTTAACCATATTTTGTGAACAAATTTGTGCCACAAAATGAGCTACATCTGACAAACCTCCTTTTGGGGACATCCTCATAAAAATAAAGGAAATGTAATAATAAATAAATAAATAAATAAATAAAACATAAAAATGTTTTAATAAAAGCTGCATATAAAAACAAAAGCAGTCTATGGAATGTCCCCAGAGGGTTGTTGTGTTGATTATAGGAAGAGTGCTTAAGTACATTCAGCCTTTCGTCAGTCTTTCAAACTTTTAAGATACTGATACAATCAGTCATTTTCTGTAAGGCTGGCTTACAATTTATTATGTTATTTTAGAAATTCATAAGAGTGGTTTTAGGTTTATAACGTGCAGGATCTGAAGTGATTGACCTAGTCATATCTAGACTAAACAAGAAAGTCCATCTATACCAAGACTTGGGTGCGAGAGTTCGTGAGGGGAAAGCGCGTTTTTCAGTGGCTCTGATGTCAGTAGTTCTGGCTGATTGAGAGCTTGAGGAGTGTGAACTTCAACTCCAGAGTACAAGACTCTTCTCATGCACCCTCTCCAGGGTACTTTCTTTCCCCCTTTTTTCTGCTTCCCAATTTCTCTCTCTTTATCTATCTCACTTTTTCCATCTCTCTTTTGCTCTCTCAGTGTGGTGCTCTCGTTCAGCGCAGAGCCATCCATCCTTTCGTGTTAATGAGGGAGGTTGGTGTGGACTCCCACTGGTTACTAGACTGGGCTTCTTTAACCGAGCTGTCACTCAGACCTGACACTGCGTGTGCGTGCGCATTTTCTCCTGCAAAAAGAAGGCTTGATCCATTTAGGGAAAGCTTGCTTGTGCTTGCTCAATTCAATTCCTCTCTCTCAATTACTCGTTTAAATGCAGCCAGAGGTTTTAGCAGGCAGGGAAACAGATTGTCTCTGCTTATCAGGGCACATCAAACATCAAGAAAGCAGACTAGACTGACAGCTAACACCAAGCCCACTCGTGTTGCACTGGCCCCTCAGACACAAAAGAGTGTGTGTGTGTGTGTGTTGCTTCTGATACTATCAAGGCCCATTTACTGGGTTATTTTCTGATTGGTGTTGCTGCGATCTATCTGCGCTGTCAACACGGCAACAGTTTTCTCTCTAGAGGACAGACTTAGCAGGTGTATTGGGAAGGGAGGTGTGCATGTGTGGCCAGTGCTGTCATACAGAGATATTATGATCTCAAGGGAGAAGACAGGGTTTGATTTAGGGTTGATGACTTTGGCAGCCCATACCGCACACTCATTAGCGCAGAGCTGTGTCTCAGTGGAATAATATATGTTGATCTTTCTTTGTACACACTGCAAATATTTTCACACAGAGCGGAGGATATTCTCCGTTCTCTATGTCTTTGAAAGAGTTCCTTTGTTGGGTTTTTTTTCCCTCAAACAAATCTTGTTTCTTCTGTTGGCGTCCATCTCAGGGCCGTGGGTGTTGAAGAACAGCAGTATAAACAGCGGGGAGCTGGAGCTGGGTCAGCGTGTCAGTCAGGATGTTCCTCCGGGCGTCTTCTGGAGGTCTCTGCTTCACCTGCGCCAGCCACACTTCCTCAAGTTCAACATCTCCCTGGGCAAGGACGCGCTGTTTGGGGTTTACATGCGGCAAGGCCTGCCTCCTTCACATGCTCAGGTGAGCAAATCGCCTCATCTCTTGTTTCTTCTCTTAAAGGAGCCAGGTTCACTTATAATTAGGACTGAGAATCCAGTTTTTAAATACTAAAAAGCATGATTTTTCATGATGTTTAGTTTTAGTTTTGTTTGGGTTGAAAATTCTGACATCATTTATTCACCCTCATGTCATTCCAAAACTATAAGATTTTTGTTCATCTTTGAAAGACAAATGAATATATTTTAATGAAACATGAAAGATTTCTATCCATCCTTTGAAAGCCCTTTCCACAAAAACTTTTACAATTCAAAAAGTTCATAAAGACAAATATAATCTATATAAATTGAGCAATTTAGTCTAAGTTTTCTGAAGATACACAGTCGCTTAATATGATGATTTAAGTTAGGCTTTCATTTGCATATAAACATTGATCAATGCACATACATAGCACTCATCAAATATGGTCAACAGAGGCTCAAACGCACTTGCTTGATGAATGAGAACAAACCTTAATAAATCTTAAAATATTTTGAGCATCAAGCACATTTGAGCTTCTGTTTACCATATTTGATGTGCTGTATGTGTGTATAGATATTTATATGTTAATAAAAGGCTAAACTAAATCATTGTTCATTATATAAACCAATGATGTCTCTTCAGAAGATTTAGATTGAACCATTCAATTCATATGGATTACTTTTACAACCTCTTTATAGACATTTGAATAATAAAAGTTGTGGTGGAATGGATTTTCAATGGAGGGGCTTCATTAAAAATATCTTCATTTATGTTTCAAAGGTGAACAAATGGATTTGGAACAACATGAGAGTGAGTAAATGATGGCAGAATTTTCTTTTTGGGGTGAACTATCCTTTTATTGCTCGTGAGCTTTATGGCTGAATTGAGTGTGATGAGAGGGAAATAATAAAATGAAAATAATAAATAGTATGTCTTTGCTTGGACAACTGCTGCAAATGAATGACTTATATGAGCCGGCTCATTTGTCACAGTTCATCTCATTGGTCTGAAACAGCTTACTCACTGAATGAGTCAGTTGGTTACGGAACTGATACCTCAGCACGCACTCACTTAACTTTAAGTCAATATTTTGACATAGCTGAATTCAGTTTGTATTAATGAACTGTTGCTGTGTTTAACCTAGAAAGACTTCTAGTGACTGACATATTTTCATTATGACAGAGCTGTTGAATATGATTTGTTACTTGTCATTATGTTAATATTTTTGTTAAAAATGTTAATGGTATATATTGAAAGAATCACTTATTTGGTGCATCCTCCTAAGTACAAAGAGTCCTTAATGGACTTTTTAAGAAATTAGAATCAGAATCTAAATCAGAAACATAAAAATCCTAATGATTTCCATTCTTATTAATGTAAGTCATTCTTTTTTTGCAGGTTAAATACACTCCAAGAATTGTCTGTGAAAATACGGCTCAATGTTTCATGTTAATATTAGGGAATTGCATTGTGTTATGTTTTAGGATTGAAGGTAATGTCTGTAAACTTAATGGAAAAAGTACTGGTAATTTGCTGCCAGGACATTATTTGTAATATTACATTTTTTTTGTTGTCCTAATTTGTTTTTCATGAGCATGTTGATATCTAAATCTAGGTATTCACACTGTTATGTTCAGACTGACCCAGCAAATGCCAACATGGTCAACATACTGATCTGACAAAACCCAACAACCATTGGAAATTGGGGCTGGTTGCCATTTGTTGGGACAGTGTGTGAGCTAGCCTTTATAGAGCAAGGAAATCTGGTTCTCTATGATGTTCCTCCTTAAAAAGACAGGTTTTTGTTAATTACCATGAAGAGACCATCTGTGCAGACAGGCTTTTTTGTTTTCAACTTTTTTTAATGAATTGTAAATGATTTCCAAATTATCACTGCATATTTGTCTGCAGAATTCTTACACTTGTCTTGTCACGTTCTAGAGTTGTTATCTCTTCTACGTTTTGATTTAATTTGACTATTTTGATTGGTTTTAGTGAAGATGATGTCCTGCAGCTACTTGCTTGTTTTCTCCCTCTGTCCTCACCTCTCTCTCTCTCTCTCTCTCTCTCTCTCTCTCTCTCTTTCT